GGGTGGGGTGAGCTGGCTGGAGAGAGAGAGAAATGTAACACCAGCCAATGTGAGTTTGGTTTTGGAATAAATGAGACGTGTTTGTTTGACAGTCCACTATTTTGTGTTATGTGTTTTATTCTGAGACCAATAACTTTATATTCTATTTTTTTTTATTCTTTTCAGATTGTGCGATTACATTTGCACTGCCCGAATCAGGCTCAGTCGCAATGAGCGCCGCTGGGGAGCATTAGGACTGCGGTTCAATCCGCTGGCGGCTTTGTTGTAGACACTGCTTCAAAAAACGAATAGACTCGATGACGTTAGTGATATTCAGCATCTTGCCTCGTAATTGCACTACCTGGTAGGAGTTTTACGGGGTTTTCTCCCATACGATACTCAAATGTGGGGTAGTTTTCCCTTAAAAGTCCTCCCGGTGGAAGGCACTGATTTCTTTCCTCAGCGACACGAAGAAGTCAGACAGACTTTTATCCACGAGGGATCCATCACAATAGAAGCTGCCCCCTCCCCTCTTTACTTTCTTCCATGCAACTACATGGGTCCATGGACTTGGTCTAGATTTGACTCATGATTTGCTCAAGGTTTTTTCTAAAGCCAAGTCCTGATGTGAGCCCATGAGGAACGAATGGCTTTCGCAAACCCATTAAAAACTTCTTTGACAGAAAATCATGAGTTTCGATCTCACTCCAGCAAAAGTCGATTTTTTCCGCACGTCAAAGGGCCATCTGTCACTCACAACCAAAGATAACGCGGGTTACTTTTCGCGGTCAGACGAAGTTACCCGCCCCTTTGTGTTCTCTCATTTGGACGGCCTTAATGTAAAGGGCCGTCCAGACTAGATGTTCTCATTTGGACGGAATTTAAGAGAAATTATTGCTTATGTTAAGACTTACTAAGATAAATGCTCCTCATTGACGTAAGTATAGAAAACTTGGAAGTCTCCAATCAAATAAACTAACTACTGATGAAAGATATTTTAATAAATTCTTCATCAGATAACTCTGTTTTGAATACATTAGCTATAATACATGCTACTACTATACCACATCACTGTGCCTAGAGCTGAGTTGCTCCTTTACAGTTCGGTAAATGTGGGTGAGAAGAAGTCTGATTGGGCTGAGTGACGCTCTACGCTCAAATGAGATCGGGACCTAAGGCTTAAAGTGGATTCCGAACCACTACAAACGTCCATGACAACGCCAGGATTCGAACCCGAAATCTGTGGCACCGAGTGCCAGAGGCCCCGTGAGGAAGTGTAGCGAAACCTGAGCTCCCGTTGAGAAACGTTTAGTTTATAGTCTCTCATCTCGAGAGGAAATAAATTTAACCTGCCTATTAGTTGGCCTACAGACTCTCACCCGAAGAGGAAGTATATGCGCGTAGTCGAGTATTAGGTTTTGGGACGCCAGAGCGCTAGCCCCTATAATGCATGCTGCCAACAGGAATCAGCTTTCCCCATTCTGCAAACTAGCCAGCGTTAATTATTGCTGGTTAATATGTGGAATAACTGTTAATTTTAAATAATCATAACATTATTTACAGAGAATGTGATGGCTAATTGTGTTATCACATCTTACTAACTTTTTCATTACATTTTATTTCAAGCAATATATTTTTAATAGATGTGCATTCAAATGCACGTACCTATCTGCGTGTATTTTTTTCAATCGTTCTTTTATCTTGAAAGTTATATCTTTAATCTAATATTTAAAACAGCATTGTAGATTTAAAATAAGCATTTAAATTGAAACTTAATTTTATTAAAAAAAATATATAGAAGTTACAGAAAAAGAAATCATATCTTCTAAGTCCGAAAGAGGGCGCCACAAGTTCATTATCACTCATACATAAGCAATGGTTTTATTATTTAACATTTATAAATATGAAATATGATCATTGCAATATTTATAAACATGAAATATAAACATATGTTTTTGTTAAATACGATATCTTACATCTTAATAACACAAAAATTAACAATCTAGAAATATATGTACTATAAAATAATATACGATGAATAAATACTTTAAGGTTCAATAAATTTTTCATAAAATTTTAATAGTATATTCAATTTAGTAGTTTTTAATAAATTATTCTCAATATGTATATTTTTTTTAAAAAACTTAAACATTTAAAATCTGAAATATATAAGGAACGAAATTTGTTCATTTAATTATAGAAACACTGCTTTTAATTTAGATTTATTTTTTCATTTGATTCGACGATATCGAAATTGATTGCAGAAATAACAATTTGGTAAATTAGATGATCAAAAGATTTAATTCTTATTTTTTTTATTATTAATAATTAATATTTTTTACTTATAAACTTAGTATACCAGTAAATGTGCTGAATATTCGGTGCAGCCTTTTTTTTTTATTATTTTCTTTCGAAATTGGAATGTACAAGAACAAAGATGAAAGAACGTATTTCATAATAAGAACAACTCTTTAATTTCCCTTTACCATTGATTAAATAATAAATTTAAAAAATAATTTTTGTAGAAGTCGAAAAGCAAGAAATTCTAAATGTTTAGTTCAAAATGTTTTAAAATATATCGATAATGTTTATTGTACACTTTCTTTAATGTTACTTATATGATATGAGACTGAGTAGCCAACGGCCGTACCATGCTGAATATACCGGTTCTCGTTAGATCACCGAAGTTAAGCATCATTGGGCGCGGTCAGTACTTGGGTGGGTGACCACCTGGGAACACTGCGTGCCGTTGGCAAATTTGGGACCTGAATGGCCGAGTGTCTAGCGCTCTGGCGCTCGGCGTCACAGGTTTCGGGTTCGAATCCCGGCGGTGCCATGGATGTTTGTAGTGGTTCGGAATCCACTTTAAGCCGTAGGTCCCGGTCTTCTATGACTGTAAGAGCGTCACGGAGCAAAAGTCAGGCTTCTACCTACGGGTGCTCCATCACAACAGAAGCTGCTTCCTTCCCCTTCAATCATGAGTCCATATGGGCTCGTGGGCTTGGCCAGCCAAGTGGGATAAGAAACAACAAACAACATATGAGACTGAATGAGGGGCCTGAATGGCCGAGTGGTTAGCGCTCTGGCGCTCGGTACTACAGGTTTCGGGTTCGAGTCCCGGCGGTGCCATGGTTGTTTGTAGTGGTTCGGAATCCACTTTAAAAAGTAGGTCCCGGTCTAATAGGATCGTAGAGCGTTGCGGGGGTCTGGTTACTCCGCGTCCGTGGCTTATCTTCAAGTTACACGTGCCCCCTGGGTCATGCAAAGTGAGTACGTCTCTGCAGCGCTTGCCTTAAGGCATCCAAAGACCAAGCTGTCTGTTTTGCCAGCTGCATTAGAAAGAAAAAAAACTCATATGAGAATGATCTGGCGCTCGGTAACACGGGTTTCGAGTTCGAGTCCCGGCGGTGCCATGGTTGTTTGTAGTGGTTCGAATCCACTTTAAAAAGTAGGTCCCGGTCTAATAGGATCGTAGAGCGTTGCGTGGGCCTGGTTACTCCGCGTCCGTGGCTTATCTTCAAGTGACACGTGCCCCCTGGGTCATTCAAAGTGAGTACGTCTCTGTAGCGCTTGCCTTAAGTCATCCAAAGACCAAGCTGTCTGTTTTGCCAGCTGCATTAGAAAGAGAAAAACTTATATGAGAATGATCTGGCGCTCGGTAACACGGGTTTCGAGTTCGAGTCCCAGCGGTGCCATGGATATTTGCAGTGACTCGGAATCCATTTTAAACCGTCTAATAGGATCGTAGAGCGTTGTAGGGGTAGTGTTACTCTCGTCCGTAGCCTATCTTCAAGTTACACGTGTTCCTTTGGGTAGAGCTAATTGAGTAACAGCGGTGCAGCCCTTGTTTATGGCATAAAGATTAACTGTCTCTGTACTACCAGCTGCCTTAGAACAACAAGCAACTTATATGAGAATGGCTTTTCTGCTTCAAGAATTGACACATAATTCAATTTTAAGTTTCCTAAACAATTCAGAGATGCCACTTCCACTTTTCCATTTAAAAAAAAAATTTTTTTTTCATTGCACATTGATGGATTTGTATTCCATTAATTAGGGTGATGTACAGCCCACCAAAGAATGACGAAAAGACGGCAATACTATCTGAGAATCTTTTAGAGGTATTTGGTGTCGTATGGGAGAAAACACAGAAGATTCCCACCATACAACTGGATGAGTCATTTACACATATTGTTACAATCACCATCAAATCTCTTGCTTGGGACTAACCCTCAGTGTCCGGCAGAGCGGGACGGATACCCCATGAGTAGTGTGGTGTTGTCATTTACTTTTAAACATGCACATTAACAATACCCGATCCTATAAACAACTAGCTACACCGTTTACTTAACACCCGATAACCATTATGAAATTCCGCAATAACCCATACCACATTTTAAATCAACAAGTTCGCATGCCTTCAGAGACTTATATAAGTTGGCGAAGGAAACACACATGAAATAACACACAGACGAAAATTTCATAATTTAAAATATAAACAAAAATGTATTTATTGATATTTACAATAGTAAGCTTGAAATTAAAGTCATTAATTAATGTTATCAATGAAAGTATAATTCAGACAATGCCTTAATAAAATATGTCTTATACAGTTGCTTGCAATTCTAAATTAATGTTCAATAATATAATAATAAGGTGATTGACCTTACAGTTTCATAATTTGCCACGACAGCTGGGGAAGAAGGGCTCCTTTTTTCTTTGTTAACTTTAATGTTTTTGTTGTTGTTGTTTCTTATCCCACTTGGCTGGCCAAGCCCACGAGCCCATACGGCTCATGATTGAAGGGGAAGGAAGCAGCTTCTGTTGTGATGGAGCACCCTTAGGTAGAAGCCTGACTTTTGCTCCGTGACGCTCTTACAGTCATAAGACCGGGACCAACGGCTTAAAGTGGATTCCGAACCACTGCAAACATCCATGGCACCGCCGGGATTCGAACCCGAAACCTGTGGCACCGAGCGCCAGAGCGCTAGACACTCGGCCATTCAGGTCCCAAATTTGCCAACGGCACGTAGTGTTCCCAGGTGGTCACCCACCCAAGTACTGACCGCGCCCAATGATACTTCACTTCGGTGATCTAACGAGAACCGGTATATTCAGCATGGTACGGCCGTTGGCTTTAATGTTTTTAGTGATAATAATGCTCTATACGCACCATAAATCAAAGTCTTGGCAACAAGGGTGCTCCGTCCAACCGCTCATGGGGCTCTTGTGTCAGCAGGAGACCAAGGGAAACTTGCCTATGTAATGTAGCTTGGATTGTACACTTTCTTCTTTCAAGTTACGCTGCTGCCAGGGGTTCACCAGTGAAATCATAGAAGTATGCCAGAGCAGCCAGTCACTCCGAATCGCCGTCAAACTCCCAGTTTAATATCTCTATATTTTGCGCTGGTGGTGTTCAACCATCTCAGCCACCTTCCTTCAAGCTCCGGAGTCTCCGTTCCTCGTCTCTTTCCTTTCTCTCCTTCTGCGATGTCTATCACCTCCATTTTATAGTTCATTCACGGTAGGGGGGGAGGCGATTGCCGACACCGTATTAGAGTCTATATCCGTTGGGCAGACGCTCCCCCGTCCATAAAGGCTCGTGCTCACCAAGGCGACAAGATGCAAGCGAAAAAATTTGACCAATCACTAGCCTCACCGCGGTCGCCTGAAACCGGTTTGCAGTCCACCGCTTGGAGTTGCCCAACTTTCAAGTCGAAGCGGTTTTTCACTAGGCGTAATGCTATTTCTGTCGTTTCGCTGTGAAGGGGTCGAAAAATTTTTGTCGCTCGCCTCTTGAATCTTCACGTCTCTCGCCTTGGTGGGAACGAGCCTTAAATCCAAGTCCCCGTCTTGATCAACTGATTTCTTGACCATCTGGCCTCGAAGTGTTTTATGACCCCTGCCAATTAAAATACTTTCCACATATATCCCCTGCATCCCCAGCTGTGACCCATCCGGTCAGGTGCGGAGACCACACACAGCCCCCTTCCAAGGGACACACATAGAATATAGTCTAACATATACAATAAGATAGAATTTTACCATAAAAATATTTACTAAAAGACATTGCTCACATTGACCCGACAGTAGCCTACTCATAGATAGATAGATGGAGGGAAAGGGGGAAGAAATACCTTAAAAGAATTATTAAATGAAACAGCCCATTATCACTTGACTTAAATAATAATATGAACTTTCCCAATAGAATCAACACTAGTGAAGGTTCTATAATTGATACACACTTTTTAAAAATATTAGTTATATCTCCTTTAAACATATTTGCTTTCTTATGCTTAAAGAAAAGTGCATGTTTGTAAAGAATTCTACAAATATCGTTTTATATTTTTTTTTCTAATGCAGCTGACAAACACTTAACATCTTTGATGCCTTAAGGCAAGCACTGCACTAACGCTACTCACTTAGCACTACCCAGGAGATATGCAGCTTGAAGATAAACTACGGACGCGGAGTAACAATACCCCCGCAACGCTCTACGATCCTATTAGACCAGAACCTACGGTTTGAAGTGGATTCCGAGCTACTACAAACATCCATGGCACCACTGGGACTTGTTGGGATTTTTATGCTTTAGTTCGCGCCACGCAGCGTCACGTGATAGTTTTATAAAATCGTTTGGAACCGATTCAGAATTGCGCTGTTGCCGGGTAAACGGGCTGTTGCCGTGGAGACCGGCTGTTGCTATGGAAACGAGTTGTTTTATTCTAAAAAGAACATTTTTCTTCCAGTTGAGATTTTGTCTTTGAACTGTTACCCTCAACCCTGTATATCCTTGTAAATATTGCTTGTAAATAAATGAAGATTCCATAAATGTTTGTATGGATTGATCAATACTTCTGGAACCATCAGAAAGCTGCGGCTAATAAGAAAAATACAACCACCGAACGATTAGTGAAACAACGATAGTCGTAGTGACAGGACTCGAACCCGAAACCTGTGGCACCGAGCGACACAGCGCTAGCCGCTCAGCCATCAGGCCCCATATCGTTTATCTTTACTGCATAAATAAATCCTACATTTTTCTTTAAAATAAATTATTTTACAATAAGATTGAGTAATAAATTATTTTTTTAGATTTACAAATATTGTTTTGTCACATGGCCGATATTTACTTTATGATTGATATTACTGCAGTTTTAATTCAGAATTTATCTTATTATTGATGTACCACTGAGCCACGAGTGCAGTGAGTACAACTGACATTTACGATTGGGGCTCTATTTTAAGATTAAAAAATGCTTTAATTTTACATCTGAAAATGATTTAATGAATTTTCTGTGTACAAAAAAAAGGAAAATTGCGTTTCACCATACGAACTTGTAAAAGTGAATCATATTTATAACAATTTGGAGTGAACATCAATAAAATTACAAATATATTTAAACTAATTTGGTACTAGAAAAAAACATCCAACACACAAGTTTATTATCCATCCCATTCACTAAGCCAACGGCCATACCATGCTGAATGTACCGGTTCTCGTTAGATCACCGAAGTCAAGCATCATTGGGCGCGGTCAGTACTTGGGTGGGTGACCACCTGGGAACACCGCGTGCCGTTGGCATTCACAAATGTAGGACCTGAATGGCCGAGTGTCTAGCGCTCTGGCGCTGGGCGCCACAGGATCCGGGTTCGAATCCCGGCGGTGCCATGAATGTTTGTAGTTATTCGGAATCCACTTTAAGCCGTAGGTCCCAGTCTCCTATAACTATAAGAGCGTGACGGAGCCAAAGTCAGACTTCTACCTACGGGTGCTCCCTCCCAACAGAAGCTGCTTCCTTCCCCTTCTATCATGAGTACGTATGGGCTCGTGGGTTTGGCCAGCCAAGTGGGATAAGAAACAACAACAACAAACAACAACATTCATTAAAAAAAATGATAACTGCATGTTATTTTCTTAAATAAAATAATGCTACAATGATAGAATCTTCCAGCAATTACCGTAACATAGAATTAATCTGTTCGAGTTTATTACGACATTAAACGGAACACTGTTTTATTTTACTTAATAAAAAGAAGTAAAATACCTCAAATGTTCTTTTTCAAGGAGTAAATAATACCAGCTTATGCAAATAACATTCTTTTCGTAAAAAAATTCAGGATAATTCAATATGCTTCATTAAATAAATAATAAAATGACAAACAAGACCTTAATTTATCATTCTAATGCCGATGGATTAGAATGAAGGCAAATTATGGTTAATGTAGTCATATGTTTTATGTCAGTCGTGAATCATTTTATTTTAGTTTGTAGTTCATCTCTCTTAAATAAGTGCATTGAAAATAGTGTTCCCACATTCTTTCCGCTCTCTTATTACATATTCTCCAATGTGGTGTTTATTATATCGCATTGTTTTGAAATTTTTCCAATAACTTACCTTTTATATTTTTATATATTCTTGCATTTCATATTATTCCCATTTATGAATTTTAATATTTCGATATTATATAACGTCTGGCGCTCGATAATACAAGTTTCGGGTTCGAGTCCCGGCGGTATTTGGGATGTTTGCAGTGGTTCGGAATCCACTAAATTTTTCCGTAGGTCCCTGTCTAATACGTTGCGGGTGTATTGTTACTCTGCGTCCGTAGCTTATCTTCAAGTTACACGCGCCCCCTGGGTAGTGCTAAATGAGTAACGTCGGTGCAAGCCCTTATGGCATAAAAGATCACGGTCTAAGTATTTTCCAGCTGCATTAGAAAAAAAAATTATGTAACGTTTCTGTAAAATTTTTCCTAATTTTGCTCAGTAACGTCAAAAGTGAATTTTGCGAAATTTTTCCGCCTCCATTGTGTTTCCATTCAATGTCACCCACGTCATTCCCAAACTGTAAAGGGGCATCTCAGCTCTAGGCACAGTGATGTGGTGTGGTGTAGTAGTAGTAATAATAATTCAACTAGTAGTGGTAATTTTGATCTTAACCACACTTCTTAGAAGAGTAGATCACAATTTTCATACATTTTTTAGCCTTTTTACTTTTAACAAGAAAAAGTACAATTACCAATCCAATCTTTTTCTGAATCAAAATCCTTCAGGAGCATGATCTTAATTTTTTTTTTTCTAATGCAGCTGGCAAACACTTAGACAGCTGTCTCAGATGCCTTAAAGCAAGCGCTGCACAGACATTACTCACTTTGCTCGTTACTAATGGGGCGCGTGTAACTTGCAGATAAACCACGGACGTGGAGTAACAGTGCCCCCGCAACACTCTACGATCCTGTTAGACCGGGACCTACGGTTTAAAGTTGATTCCGAACCACTACAAACATCCAAGGCACCGTCGGGACTCGAACCCGAAACCTGTGGTACCGAGCGCCCGAGCGCTAGCCACTAGGATATGATCTTGAAGTAAAAAAGGATTAAATTTTTAGTTCTATTAAGTTTTATTCCTTTTTTAACGTTAGTAATTCAAGGAGACCTAAAAAGAAAAAAAAAATAATTACCAAAAAATAATAACCTCCATATAAAGCAGCCAAGAGTTTATGAGGATAAAGTATCTGCGAATTCATAGTAAATTACGAATGAAAAGTTTTCAAACAAACAGCAACGTCAACCGCTGGTGAATATTAGGACTGAGATTCAATCCGCTGGCAGCTTTGTTGTAAACGTTGTTTCGAAAAACGAGGAGGCTCGATGGAGTTTGTGATATTCAACCTCTTGCCTCGGAAGTCGGAATACCTGGTGCGAATTTTCTTGGTTTTTATCCTATACGATAAGCAAATGTGGGATAGTTCCTCCTAAAAGTCCTTCCGGAAGGCACTGCCTCCTTCTTCAGTGACACGGACTCCAGTCAGACTTCTATCTACAGGTGTTCCACCACAATAGAAGCTGCCCCATCTCCTTCATTCATCAACAAAGATGGAGGAGAAACGGTCGGAATGATAGGATGGCTGAGTGGCTAGCGCTCTGGCGCTCGGTACCACAGGTTTCGGGTTCGAGTCCCAGCTGTGCCAAGGGTGTTTGTAGTGGTTCGGAATCCATACAGTATTAAACTGTAGGACCCGGTATGATTATCCTAAAGTGTGCATAAGATGACCGTAGAGCGGCAAATCAAACCAAACCGTGGGATGTCCTTTCAGCATTGCAGGACACTGAGGATTTGACACAACAT